TCCCTCCTTCCCGCAGGGTTCAACGTGGAGACGGTCGAGTATAAGAACATCTGCTTCACGGTGTGGGACGTGGGCGGCCAGGACAAGATCAGGCCCCTCTGGAGGCACTACTTCCAGAACACACAGGTAATTTCATCCACACTGATAGCAGGTCACGGATCACAAGTGCCGTTACTTTTCTAGATGGCAGGGTGGGGGGTGGGGCTTCTAAGACTTAAGGCAAATATCAGATTTTGCTCAATTAAACGGCACCAGTATTCTGAGGCAGTATTTCCCAGCCCAGGCGTTGGGCACCCCCAGACAGTCCAAATTTTTGCTCCCTCCCAGCTCTCGGCAGACATGAACCAGGCATTCGGTACTGTTGATTGGCTGGGAGCTGGGAGGGAGCAAAAATGTGGACTGTCTCGAGGACTGGGTTGGGAAACGCTGCCTAAGGAGCTTTGGTCTGGTGTTCCAGGATAGACCCGGCTTGTATGACTGTCCATGTAACACAGGCCACACCCCATCTCTGCATAATAACCCAGCTGAATTCAGTCTCCCCAAGCTTGTGATCCATTGAGAAAAGACATCTGTCCCAATGCCCCTGCCTTTGCATCTCGACTGTATGCCAGTGCCAGGGTCCCATCTGAGTCACCATTCAGGAGGGAGGGGAGGGAGGGGGGGTGGGCTGGCTGAGAAATGCATTGTTCCCTAAGTAACTTCCTGTTCCAGGAATGGGGGTGGGATGGACATGAGAGATGGTATGCGTTATTACACAGATCTTCAGGTGAGAATTCCGGATTCTTCTGTGTTGTTTCCTGGTCACTGATCGCCCTGATGTTTCCTTTTGGGGTGTGGCTACTGTCAGATCAGATTTTTTAAATTCCATTTACCCCTCTGGTTTTGCAATAAACCCTTTGACTTTGCAGTTAGTGACATTTTCCAGTCTTGTGTACTTGTGTGTCTTGTATTGAATGCATGCCGGACCAGGTTTTCATGCTAGTTGACATATAACTAAAATAATATGTCTAACCTCCATGGGCTCGTAGGGTACACACAGGTTAAAGGCTCTTGATATCAGTCTGACTAGTAGCATAAAATATATTCCTTAAAAAGAACAACTTTCCAGATCAGTTTAGACCTGTATTCTGGTAACGAAATTAGCAACTTTAACAGCATGCAAAACACACATTCCAGCCTTTTCAGAAAATACAGGGTGGTTCCAATATGGCAAATGCTAATTAAAAAGGAGAATATACTTATATACTTAAATACAGTAATAGCTGTCATATGATGTAAAATATCCAAGAGAGCAGCTCCCATCCTGTAAAAACAACAAATAAAAACTACTGGCAGACTGGATATGAAATATTCATGGAAAGTGAGATGTTTGGCCTGTAAGTATCTTCCCATCACAGAGAGACTGTGCTAGTCTTCTGCTTCCTGTTGTAGTCAGGAACCCTGACAGGGTAACACCAGAAAGGATTCCAGACCATCACGGGGCAAACAGACTAGCCAGTTTAGATGGATCAGATATGTGTGAAGATAAGATCAGATAAGAAAAGCCTTTTTTGGTCCCTGGGGGAAATTCTTTTGTGCTCAGCAGCAAGGTAGGAAAAGTGCACATATGCAAACATATTCAAGACAAAGTGCAAAGATGGTATATGGAGAGCTGACAGTACAGCAACTTCATATTGTCGAAGTAAATATGAATAAATGAATAGGTGGGGGTGTTTAATGAACGTAGTAAACGTCTGGTGGTATGCATTTCAAATGCTGTCCTAACATGTTTTATGGCTGGAGGGGGGGCACTGAGGCTGGATTGGCCAGGCAGCTGTACACGGTGGATGGGGTAATTTCCAAACTAGGTAACAATGTCTGATGGCAAGGCTAAATATTTAGGGAGGGGTCTTCAAAACCTTAACCCAGCTTAAGACCTTACAATTGTTCTGTCTCTATTTGTGGTCTCATTTGAATCATTATGAATGTTTTGTTTGTATTTTAAATTGCTTTGTGTTGTCTGCTTTATACATATTTATATTCCCTCCTCCCAGATTGCAGTGTATAGTTTGTTTGTCTGTTGTTCATTCTGCCTCCATATGACTCTGCAGATATTCGGGGAAGATGTGGGTATTGAGGCCAGGGACGGAGGGAGTGGGATGGAAATAGATGTCTTCCTCACCCGGGGCTCTCTTCCCAGTCCTGGGGGGCCCGGCGGGAAGTGGCGTCACACTGCCTGCATTTGGCTTTCGCACAGATATCACCTTGTGTGTGACTGTAAACGAGATTGTACTCGACTGAGGCGAAGCGCTGAATGTTTGCCTAAGATTAGTGGCAGAGGGGTTAAGCGAAGAGGCCAGCGCTGCCACACGGGGGCCAGTGAGTGTCCTTGTCCTCCGAGGTCCCCAGCTGGTGGCTGTCCTCTGCGTCTGGAGCCGGCGATAGGTGGTGCGCTGCCCTTGTCCTCGCCGAGCTCCTGTCGTTATGGTAACGATGACTGTTCACCGCAGGGTCTCATCTTCGTGGTGGACAGCAACGATCGTGAGCGGGCACAGGAGGCGTCTGAGGAGCTGCAGAAGATGGTGAGTCTGCTATATTCCCTGGAAGTTTGTCCCCTAACCGTGTGGCTGAGGTGTTACTGTTAAGACTGGGATGTGCTTAGTTTGTGAGGTCGACCTAGTAACACTTTAACTTATGACCGAATAGGATTTGCATTAACAAATTATGGATATTATGTAGGCTGCCCTAAGTATTGAATATTTGGCAGACAGCATAAGAACCTGAGCACTCTAAACCCAGGGTTTAGGAACAGTTTCTACCCACAGACCATAATCCTGGTATATTGTACCATTTAATGTTCAGTGTTGCTGTTCCCATGTCCCTAGACGATAAGGCTGCTGCTCGCTGTTATATATGCTGATGACAAGCTTGATATGACGAGCTGGATGCTTGGTTTGATTTTGGGGTCGGTGCTTGGCTCTGGGTTAGGGTGCCGTGCCCACGATCAGAAGGTTGCCGGATCCGATCCCATGGCCATTGGGCTTTTGAGCGAGGCCCTGATCCCCAGTTGCTCCAGGGCCCGTCTGACCCGGCTTCCTAAATACATAAATGTAATGTGTTGTCCTGGTGGGAGTTCTGTAGCCTCCCTTTACTTTAATGCCTGCCTCCTTCCACCCCCCACACAGCTGCAGGAGGATGAACTGCGGGACGCCGTGCTGCTGGTGTTTGCCAACAAACAGGACCTGCCCAACGCCATGCCTATCAGCGAGATGACGGACAAGCTGGGTCTGCAGACGCTGAGGAGCAGGACTGTGAGTGTCTCATGGGGGGGGGGCTGCATATTCACACCTAGGGTCTGCGTGTAGTAACCTCTATGGGCTCTCAGGCTGATGTCAGCTGCACTACAAGCGCTCATGCTCCAGTTTCTAGCAGTCGATGTCGCCCCTTCCGCACTAAGAAAATGCTCAATTTCACAGTGTGACCACACGTACAGTGACACACATCCTTGATCCGTTGGTGTGATAGCGAGTGCAACTTGTGATATTGTTGGATGACTTAATATCTATTTTTGTGATGCAGCAATAAAGAGAAGAATCAGAGTATTCTGTGGTGTTCCCGCTTCTGGTTTCTTACCGTTTCCAAAAACAAATGCGGTAGATAATCATTACTCTTAACATGCATTGTGGTCATTTTTTTTTTTTTTGTCATTGTTTGGGTCATTGAGGTCTGCAGATTAAGGTTAAGACTTACTGCATATGCATGATGTCAGACTGACTGCCCTGCTCTCGTCTCTCTCCACCAGTGGTACGTGCAGGCGACCTGCGCCACCCAGGGGACGGGGCTGTACGAGGGGCTCGACTGGCTGTCAGACCAACTCTCCAAGCGCTAAGTTGCAACATGCAGTCAGCAGGCCTTTGCTTATCCAGGGACATGATCGACGCCGCTGATCTCGGCTTGGGAGAAACTCGCTTGCCTTTTTTTTGCCCTGCCCCCCTTCCCTTAGCCCCTGCCCCCTTCCCTTAGCCCCTCCCTTAGCCCCTGCCCCTGTTTGATCAATATGGCATTCAGATCTGAGAAGGCTTGGCAGCCCCTCCCACCAGCTGTGCCCCCTCTTTGTTTGGTTGTTTTTGTTTGTTTGTTTGGCTTCCCATTCACGTCCTTCATTGTCACACATATGTTCTGATATGTGCGACAATAAGACGCACTTCAGACAACGGAACCGCCAGACTGTGTGTTTGGGCGGCAGCGTCTTCAACTGGTGCCGCTATTAAAAGTTTAGTTAATTGTCCAGATGCTTGTGGACCAATTTCACAACCCCCCCCCCCCCACACACACACACACACACACACAAAACCTTTGTTATATAGAAATGTAGCCCCCAAATGTAGCCCTGTCATTCTGCATCACTGTCCCTCCTGGCCAAATTGCTGGACTCTGGCTTTGTGTGTAAATAGAGGCAGGCATTCTCTGATATAGTTATGACTGATTAGATGCATCCCAGCTCCATTCCCTGACCCTGCTAAGGATTTCCTGTCATCTTTCTGTTGCTTATCACCACCCTGATTTCATTTATACTTCTGGAAGGATATGCATTTTAACTTATTAGGCCAGTCCAAGTTCTGCTGCAGTTTTTTATATGTACTTTTACGTTAAACTGATTTAAGCCAGATCATCAGCATCTTCATAAAATTTCAGCTATGGGAAACATTTGCCCCCCCCCCTCCTTTTTGTGTAAAAGTAAACTTCAAATCTGAGCATCTTCATTTTTGCCATTTTACCAGTGTAATTCCTAATAAAACAACATAAAATTGATTTCCCGTTTCCTGCATTTGGTGTACCTGTGTGGAGTTGGTTGCTTCCTGTTTTCAGTGTGTACAGTAGGTGATTTCCTGTTTCTGGTTTTTGATTTACCTGCATTACCGTGGAGGTGGTGACTTCCTGTTTCTGGTTTGGTGTGCCTGAATGGAGTAAGGTAACTGTAGCTTATGGTAAATATGCTGTTCTATACCTAGCTGATGACATAATGACACAAGGCAAAAACTTCATGTATTTTTTTTTTTAGTTGATTGGGTAGGAGTGCCAGGGGCTCTGTGGCACCTGCCTCCACAAACCATGTGATTCTGTAACTGAAGTTGACTATGCTTTAAATGGTCAACTAATATTTTAGTGCCCTCCCCCCTAACCTTCATACTACCAGAAAATACTAGACAAAACAGGACTGCAATTATATTTTCATTCTGCTACTGAACTTGACACTGGCTCTGTGAAAAATTCTTAAGTATGCAAATGTACCCGAACAAAAGAGTAAATATTTGCGAAAAATTTCAGCCAGACCATCGTGATTTCCACACTTCTAAAGCACAAATAACTAGTCCTGCTTGTGCATTTTCTGCCACCTATATAAAACCATATTTTAGTTTACATGAAGTTTAATAGCCATTACAGACAGAATAAATAGGTGCCAATTATTCATAAACCAGCTTTCAGTTTTCTAAGTGTCTCACTCAAAACACACGAGCACAGTTCTGTCAAAGCAGTTTCAGTGCTACTTAGTTAATTGCTTTTGGGCTTGGTGCATGCTGGAAAGAACAAATAATCAGTGTCCTAAGATCATGAAGTAAATTGTCACATATCCTGGGCAACAGAAATGACTGTTAGCATAATTTAAACAAGCATAATGTTTATCCATAAAATATCAAATTCCTTGAACTGTATGTACCCCTCAAAGTTACGGTTTCTAAATCATGTCAAAACAGGTGCGTATGTAAATCAAAGATATCCAGTTCCCATTTGCAAAAAGGTCTTTGAAAGCCCTTAATGTTGGCCTTCTTCATAAAGGGTGTGTTACATCACAATTTAACAGCCCAGCTCAGTTGCGACTGGGACTCAGGCAGGGTCTGCCTCCAGAACAGGCCAAGGTGGACCTCAGCAGGACAGCACCTGGAGGGCTGTGCTCACACCTCACTCTCAGGCCAGATGGTCGGTGGAGTGGATGTGGCTATGGGACACTCCTGATTCAATGCATACGACCACAAGGGGGTTTTGCTTACTGCAGCAATGTAAATGTATAAGAAAGGAAAGTTTACATTTCCAAGAAGTCAGAGAATGCACACCTATCACTTCCATATGAGGTCACAGACCAGGGCGATGTGGTCGGAGGGATGTGAGACGCTGGGCAGAGCCTGGTGGGTGGTGACCTCCTGGTGACATGGCATGGGGATCACCTGATCCACCTCCAGGGTACGTGGCTCCACCAGCACATAGTCCAGGCAGCCGTGGAAGCCACCCACATAGTTTGTGTAGGCTGGCTCCCCGCACGCACTCACCAGCCGGAAGGGGCTGGACGCATCCATGGGGCACAGCTCCTCCAGGCCGTCCGAGGCCCAGTCCTCATGACTCTCGGCCACGTCGCCCTGGGTGACCAGCTGGAGTACGCCTGAGGATGGGGCGCTGTTGAAGTCGCCCGCGAAGAGCAGTGCGGCCCCAGGGTGCACCTCTGAAATAACCCGCTGCAGGTGCCTCAGTGCCACCAGCATCTGGATCAGCCGTACATGTCCACCTGCACAACAAACACCTGCATCAGGCCTGAGGACAAACCAGCCACACACATAAACAGTGGAAAAGCAAATCTAACTCAGTGCCGAAGTAAAGTACCACGATGAATGTGCTATGGTTATATGCATAGCTACCTTTAGGATGCCAGTACAAGTGGGTGTTTGCCACACAGAGTTTCCTGGACAGGTCTTTCGAAGACTGCAGCACAGTTACCTGATAGATGACAAGAAAAATACATAGTCAGCTAAGTGAACCCAGAATATTGTGTCCTTCGTGCTAACTATCAGCTCAGTTTTTTATTTATGTATTTAATAGCAATCTGAAACATGAATATTCAGATAAAGTGAAACGTTTGTCAAATGAGAGGTGTATCCTGGACACCGTCACACCTGCTAGGGATTTCACTGTATATTTATTAGGAAATCTGAGACAGTAGGAAGAACGGTTTCTCATAAATATATGATATAAACAAACAAGGGCTTGCATTTCACACACAAACGAGCGAGTCACCCTCCAGGCACCTGTAACACCGTGCTCCTTTCCAACACCTTGTCCCGGAGTGCCGGGGTAGCGGAGATGCGCTCCAGCAAGTCGGCGTGTAGCGGGTCCGAGCTCAGCGCGTCGCACAGCGCGATGTCGTGGCGGCCCAGCACCGCAAACCGGGACCTCCGGAAAAACGTCGCCAGGCCTTCATGTTGCCTCTCCTTGATCTTAAAGACGCCATCCAGGTCGAAGGCATCGAGCGCCGGCGACAGGCTGTCACTAAACACACCCTTGTCAACTTCTTGGAGGCAGAGGATGTCGGCGTTATAGCCTGCCAGCTCCTTCTTGATGAGATTTTGCCGGTAATCTATACCCAGCGCATAGGGGGCGCAGTACGGGTACAAGACCGTCCTGGAGAATTCTGTCTGCGCGTACACATCCGCTAAAATATTATAAGACACCACCCGGACGACCGGCTCAACCGTGATTTTATTCGTGTACATGTGCCGGTTGTCGAAGGTACATGCGCCCGGTCCGGCCTCCACGGCGGCCGCGGTCGTCACCTCCACGGGCGATCCCAACCTCGCCCCGTCCCCAGGCGTGCACCGCATTTTCATCCTCAAACCGATGTCCGAGTTAGACGGCGTGAACACTCGCTTATCCCCGGCCTCTACCCAGCAGTCGTCGCCCTCAGCGTCGGGGACCCGCTCCTTGTACCACGTAAACAGGCAGCGATCCAGGTCCCCGAATTCGATCCTGAGTTTTGGGCAGACGGGGAAACCGGCAAGCAGGGATGCTGGCAACTCGGCGGTGGTGAGAGTCGGGGGATTCCTCTCTACCGAGTACTTACAGTCCCCCACATGCAGGACAGCGCCGTCCTGCCAGGCGTCCGCATTCACGGCGTCCTCCGCCACGAATTCGCCATTGTAGGACAGCCTGACCACGGGCTTGGGCGCCGGACACTGATCCGCTTTATTTCTTTTTATCTTGCCTGCCTTGCCGTGGCCCTTGGCGGCGTTGTTGGCGATTCGGGCCAGGACGCAGCCGAGCTGCTCCGCCTGATCCCTTAGCATGTGCTTCTGACTGCCATCCAGCACGAATGATATGGTCAGCTTGCTCTCCGAGGGCACGCATCTGACTACCGCCCGCTCCATGTTCATGTAGAAACGCTCGGAAAGCCGGCTTGCGAGGACCCACGCTGGTCCTGCGATGCGTAAACGGACTGGCGGCGCTCTGTAAACGGGGAGAGACCTAATACAGTAAATAAAACGCGTGTACATGGATACAGTGTAACCACACGAGCGGAAGGAGATCGATTTGACAACTCCTGATGTATATTGACACACAGAACTGCAACTCCTTTTTCGTCGTAATGAGGATAATTGTAAAATACCGAAAACAGATCAACTTGTGTCGTTGTTATAAAATTTCTTAATATTTTTTTGTATCGTTTTTCTTTTGTAGTGTGTACCTAAAACTAATAAGATAATATGACCTCTCCGAAATTGTGGAAAATGCTGAGATAAATGTTAACACGAATACAACTGAACTGCGCATGCTCAATTTTCGTAGGCGGTGGCCGGGAGCTGTTTGAGCGTGCGCATCTGTAAAACCGCAAACGCGAACGTGATGAACCTGTTTGTTAAATACTGTACATCGAACCTGACACACAGAGAAGTGTCAGTGACAATCGCGACAACTGTTTGGATAAATATGATTTAATACAAAATTTTGCATTTTTGCATATTTTTAAATCTAATATGAATATAATTTAAATAATGTATTACTTGTACATTGTCACAACCAACAATGGGTTGGTTCTGGTTGTCGTATTTGTCATTTTATAGTTATAAAATACATATTTTTTTCTTCCAGAAATAAGGAACATAGTACAATTATCAAATATGATCTCTATCAGACACACATTCCAGACATATTTTACAGACTTACAGACATTGTAAGTTGTTCTGAATTTTTAATGTTTTCTCATCATATATTCATTTATAAGCATTTATGTATTATGGTATGATTCATTTATGGTTTGATACAATCATTTAAAAAGCAAATAGTTCAGTAGTGCAAACCATTAAAAAAGAATAATACTAGAGTTACTCTGGTAATGCTATTAAAACAGGACCTCTCTTCTGATCCACCAATAAATTGCATTATCTTGACAGATATGTTTGTCCAAAATGACATATAATTTGTAAAGCAGGATCAGCCAGTCCCTGGGGGAAATTGTGGCTTAAGGGCCTTGTTCAGGGGCCCAACGATGACATCACTGCTGACCAGGGGAATTGAACTGGTACCTTTCTGGTAGCCCTGAGCCATGCTTTCTAAACCACTTCTCTGTCATTGTAAAAACTAAGTTTTTAAAAAAAAATTTTTATAAAAACCAATTGCCTTATATTATTATCTTCTCAGCTTTTGCCAGTAGAAATTGGGTAGTTTGAGTCCTGACCAGGAACCTAAGGGAATTACCTCCCTTGGATGATGATGCCAAGGGAGAGTACTGGTGGTATTCTGGCTGCCTGCACAATGCCATTTGTCAGTACTGAGTAATACTCTGTTCTACACAGGGTATAGCTGAACGCCACCCAATGCATGTCTGCAGCGGATGGAGAACCTAGCGGTGCCACTCTAACCACAGCACTTCCTGTCTTTTGGGAGGAAGTTGTTGTATCACAGGCAAGCACTGACCTTGTCTGAGTTACTAAACCAAGGATTCTGCATTGTTTCATTGGTTAATTTGGTGAATAGATTTAAACCAGTAAAATGGTTTCTTAGTCACGTCTTCATCATTTTGATTACTTTATTGTATAACACATTGTAGCATGCTAATTGGAAATGATTTTTATGACATCACTGTCATGACACATGATACGTTAAGAAAAGGAACAGATCACCTTTTAGAGAGATGTTGCTTGTGTTTTATTGTGTCCCCTTCACATGAGCCTGGCCAGGGAATAGAGATCAGCCATTGTATGTGATTTTTAAAGATTCATTTATTGCTATACAAATATAATTCCAAGTGGTGCTGTTTTAACAACTAAGCTGCTACCAAGTTTAGCAGCCGACAAGGCCAATACCAGAAAATGCTTTGTGTTTGTGATGACAATGGAATAGGTTTTTCATTCAATTTGTATTGTCAGGAATATATTGTCAAATTCCAACTCCATCAATAGGGTATGATCAGAGATTGAAAATACTTTACATGTACTAATAACATGACAATACTGGTATAAGATGATGGATTACATCACATCCTTAACATTTCTTAAGAAAACATAACAAAACCAGTATCTATGGATTAAGTTAATAGAAATTAACAAGTACAATTTTCCAGAAGTGAATAGTATTATGGTAGTAACAGCTAGTTTGAGGGGGCACCATGGCAGTGCAGTGGTTACACTGCTTCCTTATACCTCTGGGACCTGGGTTCAAGTCTCTGCCTGGGTTCTATGTGTGAAGTTTGCATGTTCTCCCTGTGTCATTTTGGGGCTTCCTCTAGGTACCCCAGTTTCCCACCACAGTCAAAAAACATGCTGATGCTGTTTGCAGTTACCAAATTGCCCGTAGGTGTGAGTGAATGGTGTGTGAGTGTGCCCTGTGATGGGTTGATGCCCCATCCTGGGCTGTTCCCTGCCTTGCGCCCAAAACCTTTAGGATGGGTTCCAGACATTCTGCATAGAGGGTATAGTACAGATACGGGACCAGTCTGGAGAACTCCATCTATGCATACACGTCCACTAAAATATTATAAGACACCACCCAAATGGCCAGCTCAACCTCGATTTTATTTGTGTACATGCACCCAGTCCACGACAAGTGGTTACACAAAATGGACGGATGGATGGATAGCTAGTTTGAAATGTACACCCTACTGGAAACCCTTCATATGGTGGATTTTAAATAAAGCTTTTAATGAATATCATTAAACATAATGAGTGTTTCTGTATTAATATTAATATTTCTTACAGTTATAGCAATGTGGTATGGGGGCTGAGTTGGTATCACCTCCAAGTGAGACCCACTGGGGCACCAAACCACCTGCTATCACTACAGGAGAAGTTCTGTTCTGTAAGTTCCTTCCCCCTGTGTGTGTGCATATGTGTTCTCCCTCTTTCTGTGGATTTTCTCCAGGTACTCTGGTATCCAGGTTTGGTCTTTTAATGTTTCCGGATTGTTCCTGCCGAGTGCGAGCATATGCCCTGTGATGGACTGCCTTCCTGTCTATCATGCCCCCTGCCCCC